GGAGTGCTATCTAGCGTAGTCATAATGACTACACCCACGTTTGTGAATACCGTCGCTGTGCAACGTTCAATTTGCATCTCGCTGCTCGAGCTGGAACGGGCAGTTTCGACGAGTGAATAGGCTTTTCACACTTACATTCATCGTACGTAAAAGAAGTAGTGGAGAGGCTCGATTAAGTGGAGAGCAGGAGAGTAAGAGTATTAAACGAATACATTCTGACTAAATTAAGAAACTTAGATAATTCACACTATCATCAACAACGACACTTTTGTTCCGGGGTGATGATAATAATAATAATACATAAATTTTGAATATTCCATTATTGTCTAATTAGCTTTCTGACCAAGATAATTTGTAGCACTATAGGCATAAGATATTTAAAATTTATTGGCTGTGTATAAATCAAAAGTCAGATACAATTTTTTATATAATGCCATTAGCCAATTTTGGGCAACTCTTCTGTCCTTGAGTAAAGTACACATAGACCATAAATCAGTTTCTTAGCATATTATTAAAAGTATCTTATGACTAGCCGCATGCTGCTATCTCCTTTTTTGATATTTATTATCAAAGATACGTATTATTATTATTGGCTGCGAGTTCAAGGATTTTTGTTAGTTTATTTCTTTGGGTTTCTATCTGAAATATTAACTATTCTGTTGGTCGTGGAGAACATTATCAAGTGGTTTTTAACTTACTTATATTGCACACAATTCGTTTTCATCTAGTTTGAAGTTATAGTTATTCGGTGTGTTCTGCAAGTTAAAATTTATTCCTGCACTGATTATAGAATCTCTATAAGATATCTATGTAGAAAAATATAAATCTAATTTACTTTTATGCTTAGCGTAGATTTTTATGTATTTAGATGTCTGATGTAATCACAATGCGATTTTTCTCAATTTTCAATTTAAATAATCATTTAATGAAGGCATTTCCCCTGTAGCAAGTTATCTCTTATGTATGGCTATCATTAGTTTAACATCGCCTATAATGAAGCGCATTAGTGTAAATATACTTTACCTCTGAATTTTAATATGGAAATTAGTAGTGACTATTCACGAGTAAATAAAACTAAAACTTGGCTTAGTATAAAAATGCAATAAAGATTACTTTCATCTATAGGTGACAGTTGTTAGAATATTGCTATAACTTCATTAGTCCGCCAGAAGAATCAATGTTTTGGACTGTCTATCAAGCATGACAGGCTATTCGAGTAATATTAAAAACATGACTTTTAATTTCTGGATAGTATGACATACAAAGAGTAATTGGGTTTCGATGAATCTCCTGAGGTAACAATGTTGGGAAGACCTCCATTTCGTATGAAAGTATATGAAGAAGAAATTCGAAGGTCTTTCTCACCAGAAGAGGAGTGCTGATTCCCGCTGTACTGCAGCTATTTAACTTTAATACGTCTTTCCGTTTGACGTAGTCCACGAGATATCAGCCCGGCCCGTTTTCACCCAAAGCGAGGGAAGCAATCGAACACGATTGCCTCGGAAATAGCGTCAATAACAACGGTTCAGTAGATCCAATCGACAGCTGGCAAAGACAAATCTGCAGTCGTCTTCTGGTGGGTTCGAATTTCGAATCTCTTCACCAAACACTTTTACTTGAAATGAAAGTAATCTTAACTAGTAATTCTTATTCCTTTCGTTATTTAAATGCTTCATATTTCCATTACTTTATTCCATATTACTCAGTGGCCCTTCCCGAATTGTTAGTCATCCTGCTCTCTGGACAAGCAGAACGAATCGCCGAGAAAGTCCTGACTGCTTTTGGTGGCGGTATAGATTTAGCTCATGATATTCGCGTGAGTATCAATGCTTGCTCTTAATCGCTTTTATGCTTTTTATTCTTAGACTAAACCTAAGCACTGTTTTGGACGGGCTTTCGTTTCTTACTTCGAGATGAAAACATTTGTGGGTAGATATCACTAGAAATTGGCAGTGTATTGGCCATACCGGGGAAGTAATGTCTGCTTGGTTCCCTCAGCAATATCTCCTGGTTTGCATAAAAATATGTTGAATTTTCGTTTCTGACACAATTCGTCAGATTTCGAAGTCAATTTTACAAAGAACTTTTGGCAGTCTTTATTGCTTTATTGTTAGTTTAAATCAATTGAGCGAGTATCCCTTATTTGACGTTAGCTTAAAGGTGTCTGTCTCTTTAGTTTAGAGATAAAAGGCCAGCACACTTTTAACCAGGCCCTAAAGTTGTGTCGTGCGGTCATCCTCAACGAAAACGTCTCAGTATGACAAAACTACGTCAGTTAAAGTGCAAACTGCCAAATATTATATCAATCTTACACTTTCCACGGAATGAAATTTAGCCTAACATTAATCTATTAAGAGACTGCTTGAATTCTTACTTTTTTCATGTATATATATATATTTTGTTATAGCCGATTTTGGTTATTTTATCAACTTAATAAGATTTATGATAAAAGATATATATTTGTTTGCTCAAAAGAATTAAGCCAGGTGAATTCGCCTGCATATATTGAGGTAAGACGGATCGGGCAAGTCTTGTCACATTTTTTAATTAACTTGCCAACTTAAATAATTGGGCTAAAGAAAAGATGATTGCTGGAACAGAGTTGTTTTCATTTTTCGAACCTATTTTGCAGCATAAACCTAAGTGGCACATCTTCGCAATTTCTCTTTCTAGTCATCCACTAAGCCTGGCACGTGGTTTTTTGTTTGGTATATGGGACTTATGCTATTAAAACAGAAAATTCATTTTGTAATATTTGGATTACGGCAAATATCCTCAAATCTTATGAACTCTTGATCTCTGTTAAGGATATAGATGAACAACAATAGTGACTCCTATGGATGGATAGATTAAATTAGAATAAGCCTCCTGGTTAAGCCCAAAGTATACTAAAATTATTTTGAATGGCTAAGATAATTGCTATAGAGAATGAAAGATGACTGCTCACAAGAGGCTAAGTTGGTGGAATGCTGCTGAATTGATATACCTATATGATATAAAGGAATAAAAGATGAAATCGACTTTAAATGCACTCTATACACAAACTGTTTATCTAGCTTTCCTTACTATATCCAAAGTCTAGGAAGAAATACCATCCTCTGTTTTGCTATAAATAATAAAAAAGTTGGAGCTCAAAGATTTTGGAATCGATGCTCCAAGGACACATTTCAATCGACCTAAGCCAACCATAATCCATTAATTAAGAATAAGGAACATTTTGATGAATCTTTTCTTGTTAGTTAAATTCAAATACTTTCGAAACGCTATAGCGAATAAGCGCCGATTGGATAAATTATGGCATATGATAACTAATATTTTATGTATCAAGCCCAAACCAGTAAGTTTGCGATCTATTGTATGTTGCAGCTTTAAATGACTACTTAATATTGACATTATCGACGGCTTTAAAAAAAAAGATAGACGAATTAATTTCATCGAAATAAAAGATAGGATTAATGTATCTTGTTTACCTGGTTTGTGGACATAGTTAAATAGTGTACTTGCAGAGTGAGCGGAATGTAGGATTAATGTATTGCCTGTTCCGGTATGCAAATGTGTGCCCATTTGTACCAACTCTTGCTAACAAATTTATTTGTCATCCACTTCAGAGATAGATTTGCATCCAAAGTGAATATCGTCTTTGCTTAACTATCATCTTCAATTGAAGCCTGACTCAGTACATGCCGGTTCATGGGCATGATAATTAAGACAATACAGGCCTCTTAGAGCTCACATTCAGGATTAAGGTATATCATTAAATGGAACAGTGAGATTCCCAACACAAAACAAGTCTTCTCAATTCATCATAGATTAACTGTCATTGCGTAAACTACCAGTCAAACAGTTTTAATTATGTAATTTTAAAAGATGCTTTTTAAATTGTTAGTTGAGGTAGTGGCCTCCTAGGCTTGCCCAGCTGCGTCATCGTTGAGTTATATACATTAAAATATTAAATGGAGAAAGTTAAATCCAAATATACTATTCCT